TAATCCTAATAATAAACAAAATACATAATAATTACAATAATATTAACCACACTAATATGTACAATAACAATAACAACATTACAATAATAACAAAACTACATGATATGCACAATAATAACCACATTATCATAATAACTATTATGCACAATAATACACTACAATAATAACTACTAATTATGTAAGATAGTCATTGTTACAGCACTTACATCAGTGATTGTGCTTTAATATGATCTCGTGCTGCAAAAGCAGCTGCTCTCCTAGGCCTCTTATTAGTGACTAATTCCTCGTCATCATTCACGACCGAACTAACCGAATCTTGGACTGTATTAATTTCCTCGCTTGGACTATCATCAACTGTTAGATCATCACATGGAATATTAGTGATGTCTTCTACTTCATTTGATGGTGGTAGCTGAATTTCCTCAACTAACTCTGGATCACCTTGATCATCACGATGGACTTCAATTGGAAATAATCTTTGAATGGGTCTCCTTAGTAGTTTAAATCGTCTCGAACCAGCGCAAACTCTCACTACAGCAGCTCTGACATTTCCATCTCTACCAGTTAATAACTCTTCTACACGCCCAGCACTCCAGAAACCTCGTTTCTTCTCATCACTATGTATGACTACAATGTCTCCCACTTGAATCCAATATCTGCCAGGTGAATTACGTAAATGAATTCTATGAGCTTCTCTTAACTCTAGGAGATATTCCTTCCTCCATCTGTTCCAAAATTGAGATAACTGGCGATTTAGAAACTCCATCCTTCTCGTTAGTGTTGGTGGAGTTAACGTAAATTCATCTTCAGTACAGCAAATGTCATCCGGAAGGCTTGTCAATCGTCGACCAATCAGGAGGTGGGACGGTGTAATGGGCTCATCTAAATCGTCTTGAGTAACATAAGATAATAGACGGGAATAGATAATCTTTTAATTTCAATAACCGCTGTAAGTAATTCCTCGTGAGTAAGACTAGCTCGTCCGATGACCTTCTTCATACATCGTTTAACTGACCGTATTAATCTTTCAAAGACTCCTCCCCACCATGGAGACTTTTCCACATTAAAATTCCACTGGATTTTGTGATCAGAAAAGTAGCGCTTCACATCCTTAAGATCCTCAATTTCCTTAAGTAGACTAGCGATCTTCTTGAAAGTCTTGGCATTATCCGAGAGCATCTTCCGTGGCAGACCTCTTCTTGCAATGAACCTTTTAAAAGACCTAAAAAAATACTCAAAAGAAATATTATGCAATAAGTCCAAATGGATAGCTGTAGTAACACAACAGGTATATAGGCATAACCAGGCTTTCCCTCCCAATTCATGGGCACTATTTTTGACAAAAATAGGCCCTGCAACTTCAACCCCAGTATAATAAAACGGTGGCCTTTCACTAACTCTATAAGTTGGTAGTGGAGGCATTGGAGGTACAGCATATGATTGACCCTACAATCTGCGACAAGTCACACAAATATGAATTAATCGTCTAACAACAGCTCGACCCCGTAATACCCAAAACCGCGAACGTAATTCAGTTAAGGTGTCTTTAACTCCATTGTGGAACACCTTCTCGTGAGCTCTCCTAATGATTAACTCTGCAAAGTGTCCTCTTCCTGGTAGGAGAATTGGATGCTTTGTCTCAAAAGGAAGATTGGCATTGGTCAGCCTCCCCCCACAGCGCCATATTCCCCTGTCATCTTTAAATAGCTGTAATTGACCCTTCCATTGTCCAAAATTCTTGTCTTCTACAAGATCTTTCTGTATTTCCTTGATCCAAATTATCTCAGCTTCAATCTTCAAAATCATAAGTTCCCTTCTCATCTCTACATTGCCGCGCACTCTCAATAAAACAATCTCAATGAATTGCAATACATACCCTGTTACTGATATAAGCTGGCTATAAACACTATAGCGCTTAATATTAATAATATTCGTAATCCCTATATTCTCAGAAGCCATTAACAAATTACACTCCCTTCTCTCACTTGCTCTCATCTCATCCAAACATTCACCAGGCATTTGATCACAGATATTCTTCTCAGCTCCCAGATCCTTGGGTCCTTCCCACCATAAAGTACACTCTCTCAATTCCTCAACAGACATCCCCCGACATGGAATATCCGCTGGATTCTGTTTACCATTACAGTGACTCCATTGCTCACTGGGTATCAACTTCCTAATCTCCTTCACTCTGTTACATACAAACGGCTTCCATTCTTTTCTCTCCCCTTGAATCCAGTACAGTGCTACCTGAGAATCAGTGTAACATCTAGAAGGCAGCAATTTTAATTCCTCCCTTAACGCCTCGTGAACGCAATTAATCAGCCGCGCAAGCAAAAACGCTCCTAATAACTCTAGACGTGGGATAGTCAGACTCTTCAGTGGTGCAACTCGTGTCTTTGAAGCAATAAAGGCCATTGGCTTACTATCTCCTCTATCCCACTGCAAATACACTACCGCCGCGTATGCCTTAGCAGACGAGTCACTAAAACCAATCAATCTACATCCACAATGATCCGACATTACTTCAAAATAACACCTTGGAACAATTACTGGTTGTCTATCACGAATACATGTGATTAAATTAGTCCAAAGCTCCAGCAATTCCCCCTGAATCTCCTCATCCCATTCCATCTTAGCACGATGTAGTTGTTGTAACAGTATCTTGAAGCGAATAGTTACTGGACTCAAAATACCAATGGGATCATAGATCGCACTAGTTACGCTAACGACGTGACGTTTCGTGGGATTTTGAATATTCGCTCTCTCAGTAATGCTACTCAAATCAATTAACAACTCATCAGTTTCCACTTTCCAAGTCACTCCCAATACCTTTTGCTCCCCCCCCTGCAACACTCTGACCCGATGTAACAAATTTTTTTAAGTTGAATCCTCCTGTAGATAACATAGCTCGAAATTTCTCAAACATTTCAACAGAACTCTCAACACTCTCTGTCCCACACACAACATCATCAACATAAACAGATTGCAAAAGTCTTTCCACTACATTAGGTCTCTCTTCTTTATAACTCTCAATATGATAACGCATCGTGGCATTCAACAAAAATGGGCTCACAGTCACTCCAAAAGTCACTCTTTTAAAGCGTAATACCTGAATCTCTGCAGGCTCTTGATATGGATCAGTGACCCACAAAAATCTTAATACATCTCTATCACACTTGTTCACACTAATCATCAGAATGGCCTTCTCAACATCAGCAATAAATCCATTTCTATGTACTCTAAATCTCACTAAAATCTCAAATATTTTTTGGTTAAACTTTGGCCCAACATGTAGACACTCGTTAAGTGACAAACCGTTGCTCTTTGCGGAAGCATCGTAAACAATACGCAATTTCGTGGTTCGTTTATCGTGCCGCACTACTCCGTGATGTGGCAAATAGTGTACCCGCTCTCCTTCAACTAATGTTGGATCTTCTACTACTTCCACAATCCCATTATCTATTTGATCCTTAATGAACTGGTTGTACTCTCTTAACAGCTCTGGATTACGCCTCAATCTCTTCAACAGACCCTTCAATCGACACAAACTGAA